ACAAACACACACACACACACACACACACACACACACACACACACAACCACACACAACCAACAAACAGCCTAAAACAACGAGCTCCCCTCTCTCACATCCCCAGTGCCATGGACTCGAAGCCCGAGGAGAAGACCAAGCAACACCTCAAGCCTGACGTCCTCACCTCCGGACACACCAAGCAACAGACTGTGCCCTCGACGCTGGTCAAGCCCAAGTCACGCTGGGCACTGGACAAATTCTTCACCTACATCAGAGGTCAGTTTATTTCATTTAAAAGAATAGTGGGTGGTTGGCGGGTGCTCTAGTGTGGTTTGCTCCTTCTTTCCTATCAAACATCTGTTGTCCTTATCTCCCCTCCTTTTTTATGTTTGTTAATCCCTTGTAACACCTCTAATCTTTTGGCGCTCATGTGACCTTATGCAGTTGTGAGCGCCGTAAAACCTCCACTAAAACTAAACAATCTAAGAATTGTTGTGACACGACGCAGTGGAATCAGGCGCTCGTCAATTTTTGGGCAAGAGAAGTTATTAGTATAATCTTAAACTTTGCTCTTTTGTCTATCTTTTGATGGAAAAAAGTACCCATTCATCTTGAATAGAAGTCGATGTATTTGCGATGGAAGGCGTTGGGGGTTGCCTGGTTCCAGAAGTAAAATTAGCGAGAAAGTGGCCGCTAAACATAGATGACTTCTTAACCTTGTTTTTTGTTTTTGTTTTGATTTGTTTTGTTTTGTTTTGTTTATTCTATCATTTTTATTTGGCTTGTTTTTATTTTTCATATTTTCAAATATGTTTTTGTAAGTGGTCAAAAATAGCGCCAAATTGCGAGAACGCACGCCCTCAATAACTCAATCGTCCGCCAAGATGAGCAAAGACGGTTAAAGTTAAAGTAATTATCGATTTCGTGAAATGACGAGCACGTCGTGACCTACATTCTGACTCACACTGTGACCCACATTCTGACCCCTATGCCCTATATCGACCCACATTTTTACCCACATACTGCCATGCTCAGGAGAGACAATGGTCAACCTGAAATCTTCATGTTAAAGAATGCTGTCCTAGAAACCCCAATTGTGAAAAAAGCACGTTCGTCTGCGTCTGTAAAATGTTTTCGTATGTACGTCCATGTTCGTAGGCACACTCACATACACACATGCACACACAAACACACACACACACACACACACATTCACACACACACACACACACACTCTCTCTCTCTCTCTCT